TTATGTGAAGCAACCTGAAGGGTTTGTTGACCCTCATCATCCAGATTATGTGTATAGGCTGAAAAAGGCGTTGTATGGGCTCAAACAAGCTCCGAGAGCTTGGTACGAACGTCTAACTCAGTTTCTTGTTAAAAAGGGTTATTGTCGAGGGGGAGTTGATCAGACTCTCTTTGTCCGAAAGTCTAGCAAAGATATTATTATTGTTCAGATTTACGTGGATGATATTATCTTTGGATCTACTTCGAAAAATTGGGTGAATGAGTTTGTGAATAATATGTCTAGCGAGTTTGAAATGAGCATGGTTGGTGAAATGTCTTATTTCTTGGGGCTGCAAGTGAAGCAATCCAAGGATGGGATTTTTCTTCATCAATCTAAGTACGCTAAAAATCTGGTTAGTAAATTTGGGTTGGAAAATTCTAAGTGTCCAGCAACACCTATGGGAAGTCATCTAAAGCTTTCTAAAGATGAGGCTGGAACACCAGTTGATTCCACACTCTATAGAAGTATGATTGGTAGTTTGTTGTACTTAACCGCTAGTAGGCCAGATCTATGTTTTAGTGTTGGTATGTGTGCTCGTTATCAGTCGAATCCTAAGGAATCACATTTGAAAGCCGTGAAACATATAATTAAGTATGTTCATGGTACTTCAGATTTAGGAATTTTGTATGCTCACGATACTACTTCTAGTCTTGCAGGGTACTGTGATGCCGACTGGGCTGGGAACATTGATGATCGGCGAAGCACTTCTGGTGGTTGTTTCTACATCGGGAACAACTTAATTTCATGGCTAAGCAAAAAGCAGAATTGTGTGGCTTTGTCTACCGCGGAGGCCGAATACATCTCAGCTGGAAGTTGCTGCTCCCAGCTTGTGTGGATGAAACAAATGATGGTGGAGTTTGGCCTTCAGGTAAGAACCATAAACCTTTATTGTGATAATACCAGTGCTATCAATATCTCTAAGAATCCAGTTCAGCATTCCAGAACCAAACACATAGATATACGGTACCATTTTATTAGAAATTTGGTAGAAAATGAAGTGATTATTCTTGATTATGTGCCAACACAAAACCAGCTGGCTGATATATTCACCAAAGCTCTCGATTCCCAGCGGTTCATTTCTCTAAGGAAATCCTTAGGGATGTGCACTCCTTGAATGCTTGCATGAACTTGCATTATATTATATTGTATTGTATACTATATATATTACTATATATTGCATTGCCTGTAAGCACGTAGGTTCTAATTGCATTAGACATACTTTGCATTGCTGCATTGTCTCCCACCACCAAGTCATAAATGAAGTTCCGACTCTCTTGTAACTGGGTGAAGTGTTGATTGTCCTTGATTGATTGCGTGTTACTTTATGCCATGGAACAAATTTATTTCTGTCAACAAGAGCTGCCTTCACATAATGATCTAGAGCGATAGCTAGCACATGGTTCGTTTCCTTTTGGATCGACTGTGAAAAGAGCGTCATGGACAGAAAACGTGTGAAGGGTGGTAGCTATTGACAACCACTACACTTGATTGTGTGGTGTTTTCTACTTGGAGTTATAAGGTGGTCATTATCATAAAAAAAGTAGTGCATAATGTTATTTAAAAAAAAATAAAAAAATAAAAAAAAATAAAAAAAAAAATAAAAAAATAAAAAAATAATATTTCTTCATCGAGCATTGAGGTAAAGTAGTGGGGTTGACTCTCGCTATTGCAGCGATTGTTACTAAGTGAAACACCTCAGTGTGAATGTGTTGCTTAAAATCATTGGGTAAAGTAGTGGGGTTGACTTTCACTATTGCAGTGATTGTTACTAAGTGAAACACCTAGTGAATAATAAAGCTCATGTTCTTTCGGTGCTAGAATTCTGGAGAGATATGACTTGCACTACATATATATATATATATATATTCCGCCGCTGTTTTGTTCCTTGGTGTGTTTGTGACACAATATCATTTTGGATTAGTTAAGCATGAATCTCGTTATAGGTGACTAGGAATGAATTTTGTTGATCTTGGTGTCTTGCGTGATTTTGTTTTTCCTTTTTTCATCCTTAGGCATAAATCATGTGGTTTCCTTAGTGAATTTGAATTATTTGGGTCTCATATATTTTGTGTAGTACATATGATGGCATAAAATCAGATTTTCCTACTTAATTTTCGAAATAAAATGGGAAGTTATTTTTGTGGGAAGTTGTGATGTGTTTGAATTTGGTTTTGGAAGGGATTTAGTTTCCTAAAACCGCCCAATCTCTTTCTCTCTCCAATTACCTTGAATTGTGGAACGTGCCTTTTGCAGTTATCTATGACAGGTTCTTTAAACCTACACGCAACCTCTCTCTCTCTCTCTTTTCTTTACCTCTCATTTTGTTCTTTCGTCTCTCTCTCTCTCTCTCATTTTGCCCCAAACCCTAGTTTTTCCAATTCCCCACCTTCATTTGTTATCCATGGCTGGTAGCAAGGATAAGTCGAAGAAACGCCATAAGAAGCACAAGGACAAGGGATCGAAGCGGCGTCGGTATTCAGTCGCTCCAAGTTCGCCTCGTATGTCGCCGCCTCCGGAATCGTCTCAGCCACAGGATGCACCACCTGTTACCCCGACTCCATCTCCGGCAAAGGCGGACACCGAGAACGACGCTCCTCAACCCTCTCCGATGTCTACGAATATTCCTGTTCTCTCGCCTCAGTTGCTTCACGACATCGCGGCCGGCACCACTCAGGGGGAGTCTTCGGCACTTCCCACTTCTGGAACAAAGTCGACCACAAAGGAAGGTGACAAATCCGACACTGCTGGTACAGCCATTGAAGTTCGCTCCGACCAAGAGACTCCTCCTCGCCGACAATCTGTCCGTCGGTCCGCTAGGCGTGCGGGTAAAGAGCCCATGGAAACCGCTCCTGTTGAACAAGAACCTGAAGATGACGACTATGACTTGTCTAACGCCTACTCGAACAGGTTCTATACTCAAGCTGCCTTTGGTCGTTTTGAAGATTTTTCTACTTATGGTTTTTGGGCTGAACATCCTCTTGGTGATGCGAAGTATGAGGATTTGGGTATTGTTAAGCTCATTGATGCTGTGGGTTTGTCTAAAACCGTCACTAATCTTCACCCTTTCTGTGGTCAAGCTGTGAGAGAATTTTTTGCTAATTTAACCCCTGCTGTTTTTACCCCTGGTAGCCCTCGTTTTCACAAACTCTTTCTTCGAAATAGAGTCATTGATTTCTCTCCTGAGCTTTTGAACTTGCATTTGGGTTTACCTGCTGATGTTCCATCTTTGTCTGAAGTTGATCTTGATGTTGTTACCCAAACCCTTTCTGATAAAAACCTTGATACTTGGCCTGGTTCGAATTTGCCTGTGAGTTGCTTGTGCCTTACCGCGAACATTCTTCATAAGATTGGTGCTGGGAATTGGACACCTACCTCCAACAAGAACTTGCTCACTGAACTTCAGAGCAAAGTCATCTATTGGATCATGGATGGACAGGTGTTCAACTTTGGTGAGGTTGTCTTTGACATTATCCACTCTTTCATCATTAATTCCGATTCTCGTCGCACTCTTCCCTTTCCTTGCTTAATTTGGTCCTTCCTTGCTGCTAATCATTTCTCTGTGAACCCTCGATTTAATGATGCTCTTGAGAACCCTGGGAAAGCTTTTATTGTGAGTGCTCGCACGTTGAGTATGAAGGCCGCTCCCAAGACCAAGTTTGATCTTGCTCCTTCCCTGGTTCCCACCAAATGGGATGAATTCTTGGTACAGCAGCTAGCTGAGTGGGACGCTGTGGCCAAAAAGGTTGCTACTCAGCAGGCTTATCTTCGTCAAGTTCTTCAGGCTGTCAAGGGACTGCAGCGCAAAAACTCGGGGACTGGCCCTTCGGCATCCCGTAGTTCGAAAAAGGGGGAGAAGAAGGCTAAGGGTTCTGATGAAGATGAAGATGAAGATGTCGATGATTCTGAAGCTGAAGAGGATTCCTCTGATTCAGGGGGAGAGTCTACCTCTGATTGAAGTTTGTTGCTGCGCGATCTAGTTGCTTAGGATGTGTGTGGAGGGATGTAGTGAGGTCTTTATGTATTAAAGAACCTCGTTCGTATTTCATCTATTTTGTGCTGTGCTGCTACATTGCCTATTGCTTGTGTGACTTTTGTGATGAACTTCGTTTTTAGGTGATTTATGGATGCAGTTAATTATTTCTTGCTTGCAGGAACTAATCAGTAGAACTAATGATCTATTGCAGAATCTGTGGAGTTCTTGTTGTTTATGTCTTGCAGGAAATTTTCGAACTAGATGCCAAAGGGGGAGATTGAAAGATATATTTTGGCATAAGTTCGAAAAGTTAAAGAAGTTCCTGCCATGTTTAGTAAGGGAAGTCTTTGTTACCAAAATTAGTTCCTATTATACTTGCTCTTATGATTTGTTTACGTGTTGTAGGATATTGATGCTATAGGAAAGGAGCTTCACGCGCATGGCACATCACGAAAGAAAAGGAAAACTTTGGATAAGTAAGGCAAGAGAATATATGGAGAGAGAAGAAGAGTCCTTTACATGGTAGGACTTTGGGGACATGCCATATAGAGACCAAGGATTGTGGGAGACCTATGAGATGATATAAAAACCGATCTTGAAGGTTGAAGGCAGCTGCTGAAACTAGGGCAATCATTTATCTCCTTCAAGCTTCAAGTTTCACGTTGGCTACTTGTTTCATTTTGTTCTTGTTTCGGTTCAGTTCTTGATTGATTCTATCATTGAGAAACTGATACCATTTTGATTGTATTGCTTTCAATTATTCTGAGTTGAACTTTTTGATCATTTACACTTAGGGAGTAAGTGTGAAAAATAAGTCCACGGGACGTGGCCGGAGAAGTAATTGATAGGCTAGATCATAGTTGTGGTTAGAATAGAAGGGAGTTCTATTTTGTAAATCCAAACTATGTTCAATAGTTATCAATGAAAGAGCTCTGAGGGGAAGTGGGATACTTCCCTGAAGAGTGTTTTAAATCTTTGATTGTCGCTTCCGCAAATTACAAACTTTACAATTGTTCGTACAACAATACAGAACACTCGGGATCATTCTATACGTTTCAAAATTCATGAGGATATGTTGATAACCCATTTAGCCGATAACTTGAATCATTCTCTCATTACTTAATACAACACAAAATTAAAGCTTCTCCTTTCTCATTTTTTAGACTACATCAGCAAGTCAGAAGACAACTTGAATATTAATGGAAGGCGCCGACAAAACAAAATGAATACCCGAATCAAAGATAAGCAGCCATGAAAAACCAATTCACGTCAAACACTTCAACTTATTTTCTTGTAAAATATGTGGTCCCTAATAAAACTAAAGTAGAAGTTCACAGCAAAAATCATCCACAATGATACTTTTGAAAAACCAACCATGAATGTCCTGTGGAGCTTCTTTAGCCTGTCCATCGTTTCACTTACACCGAGAGCTGAGAACAGATCAAAAGAGCTCCATTAAACGGGATGTCATTTTGCTCCAGAAGTCAAGTTCCTACAAACCACATGTGAATCATACTATACAGCAATAGTTTGAGAAGCACAATGCAACGAAAAAAAGGGGACCAAAGAAAAAATATTGGGTATTGAACTTTTTATACATGCACCACTAAAGAACTGTTTGCAAAAATTAACAAGTAAAACTTTTTTTTCTCTTTTGTAGAAAGCGATAAGGTCTAGGAGTTACCTTTCGTTCGCTGGTAGACGGATTTGGGTAGGCCAACTCCAAATACAATGATGGGAAAGATTGCCTAAGGTATTCACATCCTTCCGAATCCAAGACAGCTGAGGAATGAAAAGTGAACATATTGCCATTATTCAAAAGTAAGTAAGCATATGAATACGATATTATATGTGCATTACTATTACAATATCAGAATGTTGCCTAACTCCAAATAGAGTATGCTACATATCCTTTGTTGGCTGCACGAATTCACTTCCACACGAATGACCAAGTTAAGATCGGGTTCAAAATTAACAAGACATGTTCCCCATCTTATGAAACAACTTCACACCACACAGGACTCAAAAATTATCTAGAAGAACATTGATGTTCTTTATATCTAGATCTTAGAATTAACATTCGGAGCTAATAAAGCTACACGATCTCGTACCAAGAAGAGGGGAAGGGAACAAATCCATCTAACTACAGAAATTATGTTGCGGTTTCTTAGCATGTCCAGAATACATACCCAGACGATTTTCAGCTGCAAATCTAAGACATGCTGCTTTTAATTCAGTTGCGTGATAAAGGTCTGCGAGATGTAACAAGTATGCAACTGATTCTGCTGAAATTTTTTGTAGAAAGCTTGATTCGCAGACCTTCCTAAGTTTTCGCAGTTCAAATTGATGAGCTGCCGCAAGAATTTTCCCCATAAATGAAGCAGAATAACTAACATCATTTTCTTCTTCGTCTTCTTCCACCAGCGTTCCTGTGTAGATAAACCACAGCATCGCCTGCAAAATGAAATGGAATGCTTAATTAATGCTCAGGCTCATCCCTTTAAGATCTATGATCCGAACAAAGATATAGATAAAACCCGAGAAAAAGAATAAACATAAGTCAACTACAAAGCCTTTTGACCCACTCCAGTTCCATTTAAGATTGAACAGATTGATTGGTCCAGCTAAAAAAAGGGCAAGCAACATATACAAGCCAAGTCACAAATGTTCAGGATTAGCTATTTTCAAGCCAACTAAAGAAGCACACAAGCTGCTAAGGCTATTTTATAATCATGTACAGTTCTTCATCAAGTATAAGAAGGACAAAGGTGAAGTTTACAACTATGTCAATTTTCTCGGTCAGAAACGCATTGCCAACTCATGAGCACAGAGCATGAACATACCATTCAACCAGACACCAATTTAAAAATAATACTAACAATAGTTTGACAACTTACCATTACTAACAATAGTTTGACAACTTACCATTCCTAATAGAGACATGAATACATGATAGTTGATACAAACTAAACAATCAAATAAAATCAATAGACTGAAATATTGGAGATATTAAACAAAAAGAAAGATATTTAAGCTGAATAAACAGTACTGCCAATAAAGATATTTAAGCTGGACAACCTTGAATATTCTGGGCTCCATATCTGGGATAACAATCTCCTCCTGTGATTGCGGACAATTTAAAATACGTGACCGGAAAACGGGAGATGAGGCTACTAATATCCACTTATGCCCGGAAAAGCTTTCGCCCCCGACTCGGAATAGCACGTCAGCTCCTGCCTTGCTTTCCAACAGCTTGCCAAAGTCTTCCGCGATGCTCGATTTCGGGACCTTGATAAGAGGCAGGGTCTCAACCTCAGAAGTGACGAGTTTAATTTCGCAGCGAATTCTCAAGCAATCGTCTCTCAGATAGTTCGGGGATTCCAGCTCCCTTCGCCCAATGTAGTTAATTTCCCCGAGCTTCACGCCCGGTTCCAGAGATGATATCCTTCCGCCGAAGTCATTTACCCAATCATTGCCTTCGCCGGACTGGTCCAAAACCGAGAAACACATCGCGACGTGAATAATGTCGCCGGTAGTACTCTCGTCGTCCCTGAGAATTAGAAATAGAGAGGCGTATCCCCACCAGTAGGCAACAGTGGTTTTCCCGTCCGGGAACAGGAGGAGCACCCAACGGCGGCCGCACATCCAGAACTCCTCGCTCTCGAGTGGCTTGTCGACGCCGTACTTTCTGCGGCAGTGGTAGGGTTGCACCACCCAGTCGTGAGATCCTTTCTCGACTCGTCTGGTGGTTAGCGAGGCAGACTCCGAACCCTTTTCTTCCATGGCTGCTCACCGATCGCAACCTGGTCGGCGATGGGCAATGATCAGCCAATATTGATTTCGCCGGTGACGATGTGAGGTTTTATTGATGCGGAGGATTCCTTTATTTCAATAATTATTTCAATAATCATCAAATTATATAGGGTTAGCACTAACTGGGTTTATTTACTAAGAAATACTAAATTAAATAGATAGTTGAAAACTTCATCCAGCGTGTAGAGCATAGCGTATTGTATCAGCGGATAGCGAATAGTGGATTATATTAGCTGATTTGAATAGCGGTTTTTAAATAAGTGTTTGGTAAATAGCTGAAAGCTTATAACTGTTTGACATTGAAAAATGACCAATAAGGACATTTTATTATTTATGGTGTATTCTTTTAATAATAATATATTAAAACATTTAATATTCTTTAGTTGGTAATTTATAAATATTAAATTTACTAACACTTGATGAAGGAGTTATGAATTTTATATTTTTCTAGATAAATTAATCATTTGGATGATATATTATTATTTATTAGCACCATAAACCAATGCAGATTGTAAAATAAATAAGACAAACCTCAAAAAGCTTATCAAATACCAAACAAGCTCAATAGCGGATTTGACGGGTCAAACCTCTCAATTAAGTCCAATCCGCTAATTTATCTTCAATCCGCTATCTACCAAACGGGTATATATCACTTAAGAAAATAGACTCAATCTAAAATTATATTTTCCATTGCAAATGCCAAATAGACTAGGTCCTGAGTGGCGGCAAAAAAAAAAGACCAAGTCTCTCCTTAAGTGCATTTTAGACCCATGTAGAGACATAATTTTTTTGCATTGAAGTTAATTTTGTTAATTTTATATAATTTTATTCATGTTATCCAAGATTTAAGTTTATTTACATTTCACCTACACAAAACTAGACTCAATGTATTGCAGATGCTCTAATGGGGGTTTTTACAAAAAAATACTAATTTAAATAGAGAATCTATCAAAATTTATTAAAAAATAAATTTGAATATAACATTTTAAAATTCATAATACACAACTGTCACGGACAAGCTGAAAAATAGAAGAGGTGAGACTCTGAGAGGGTCATTGTCGGCGGAGGTGGAAAAGGGGATCGTGGTGAACAATTAGGGCACGAGATTGCAAATGAGGCGGGTCATATTGTTGATTTGATCGTGTGATCGGGCTTAAGGAAGTAGTGAGCTGAAATCATAGTTTTTCAAATTGAATCGAGCTGGTGGGTCGACCCAAAGGTAGAACCTGTCTAAGTGGGCTATTTGGATTAGGTAATAACAGACTCGGTCAAACTCGGTCAACCCGGGGCATTGACCCGGCTGGATCAATCCAGTTGACTCGGCTCCTATATTTTTTTTTTGTTTTTTGAAATATTTATTTATTCCAAAAATAAAAATTATTGTATATATATTTATATGATAAATATTTATTATGAGATATAATATTATTAACAATTTGATGTACAAATTTTATATATAAAATATTTAACTTGGTTACTTTTATGTATACAAGTACGAATATTTTAATATTTTTTCACATTCGCATTAACTTATGTTGAATCCTGGAATGATATATTGCCATGTAAAATAAAGATAAAATTTTGTATATTTTTGTTGTATTGATGCATTTCCATATCAACTTATTTTTTACATTATTATACATTTCCAGTTTGGACTATATTGATGTGTTATTTGAATTGAAATTATTCTTACTCAAAGTTAAATATTCTATTTGTCTAAATTGAATGTCATAAAATATATGTTATGAATGTTTCAAAATAAAATATTTGCTCCTAAATTGCAAATTTTGTTAAACATTTTTTGGACGAAAACACGAACAGAATGTTACCAAAAATACATAATATCATGTTGTATTCACGCTTGTTTACCAAATAAATCTTATCGGTATGATTCACCAAAAATTTAATATCATTAAAATCAATTTTCTATGTAATAGATATTTATATTATTTTGAAAGTATAGTGAGAATCGGACTTTGCCAAAATTGTGTAGGAAATTAGATCGTTTAACAAACCATTGGAGAATATGCATCTATAATTTTTCCAAGAAAATTAATTTAAAATTTATTCACCAAATGATTGGAAAAGTGGTAAAAAAAAAAAAGAAAAAATGATAAGGTAACTTCCATTTTTAAAATATGTTCGCTTTTATTCCTAAAACAAGTATATGAAATCGGTTTGTTCCTTTTTATCCTAATCTCGTGTGTTTTTAAAAACATTTCTTATATTAGTAAGTTAAACATTTAATTAAAAAGATAAAATTACTATTTATGTATTTTTTTTCAACAACCATTTTATATTGGTATAGATTTATATGACAAAAATACAATATATATAATTTTAAAATTTTAAAATTGATTATCCGATTCAACAATTGATCCGATGATCCGGCAATTGAACCGATGATCCGGTGACTTGGAGACCTGCCCGAGTCGATTTCCGGGCCAATTTAAAAACTCTGGCTAAGATTATTAATTGTTATGGGCCTAAGTAATATTAATATATCTAGTTTATGTTTTAGAGGCATTGGCTATGTCTGTCCAATTGCTGTTCATTTACTTTGTCTTGTAGTGATTGGTAGGCACATGTATTTGTGCTGTGTGGCAACACTGGAGAAATCAATCAGATATTCAGTTACAACTTCCTTCTCTATTCTCTCTCTGTATTCTCTCTCTCTAAAACTTCATCCTTTTTTCCTCATTCCACCATACACTTATCAGAAAAAATACCAAAAAGAATAGTAAAAATCTTAATCAATCCATTACAACAGCATTAAGTTCTAACTAGGTTTATATAACTTTTATTGAGTTGCACTAATAGATGAATAAAACTCTTTTTTTAAAAAAAAAATAATATTCCACTTATAAGAATCCTATCGAGTGTCGATTATTTGTACTTCAATCCAATGTGTTGGATGCAAAATTTTCCGAATCAATGTAACTTGATGTTTTATTAGGTTTATATAACTTTTATTTAGTTGCATTAATAGATGAATAAAACTCTTTGTTTTTTAAATAATATTGACTTGTAAGAATCCTATCGATTGTCGATTATTTATACTTCAATCCAATATGTTAGATGCAAAATTTTATGAATCAGTGTAACTTAGATGCTTTGTAATCTATGTGTAAAAAAAATGATTTTTCTAATCGGTGGATTTTATTTTATTTTTATACTTTAGTAATCCCATATGTTTGCTTTACGAAATCATATATATCATTTTCTTTTGTATGAGTTTCCCCATTCTCTCTATATGTATATATTTTTATTTGCATTAATAAATGCAAACATGCGAAATTGATAATCATATAAAAAACATATATGATACAAGTATCATAAGAAAATGAACATATTTGCGAAAAAAAGGATTAGTATTTAAAATTTAATATACGAATAACATGATTTACGGTTTATCATATATTATTAAAAGTTTGTTATTAATATATGTTCGGTAAGGCTTGTGTTATGGTGGTCTAAGTATTAGGCCGACATATTATTTTTGTAGATATGCATATTTTCATAAAAAAATTTCATATTTTTAAAAACATCAGAAATAAGCAAGCGTATGATATAATATAACATTTAATAGTATGATTATGAATTTTTGTTTTTTGTTTTTTTTTTAACAAAGTATGACAACTCGTCTAATGGTTAAGCAAATGAAAATTTGTAATATATTTTATTTCATATCAATAAAGGTTTAGCCTCTTATTTTACCCTCTCTATACATATATATACTGAAAAATGCAATCGTGACGGCTTAAGTTGATAACCATATGAAAAACATATATTACAATATATCACACATCATTGAAATGAGCATGTGATGTGCGCGCACACGAGAAGAAAGGTTATGAGTACTTTATCATAAATTTATTATATAAATAAAACTAAGTCATGATTTATTATACATTATTAAAAAATTTAATACACTATCAATTTATATATAAATATTAATATTAATAAATAATATAATGAATATTAATATACTACTGAACACTTATTAATATACTATATTGTCATTATAAGATAATATACGAAGTCATTATAATTTGATTTGATTATTAAAATACAATAACTTAAAAATATGAGGAATGGTTATTAAGAGAGAGAGAGAGAGAGAGAAACCGTCGAATTTATCTTGTATCTCAAATGGGAGACGCCTCGGCGTGACCTTGACCAGTTGACCTTTTTGGGTGGTTTTCTGCACCATAACTAGTCGTCAGTTTTTTTACCTATGGCTATTTTTTTACCTACGCTACGCACAGTGACATTGTACTACTAAAAATTGTGGAAAAAGTTGTGTTGCAAGTTGCAACAATAGTGACAATACTGTAAATTAAATGAAATCAATGATGATAACTATTTCATGATATGAACTGATTTTTTTTATTTCTTTATTGTTGATGGTATGTTTAATTTTTTTTAAAAAAATTAAATATGTTTATATACACAAAATCTATAAAAATGCCATGTACTGATGTACACTGCACATTTTTTAAATAGTAACCCAACTTGATAATCTTTTTTTTTTTGGTAAGCAACATAAGTATTAGTTTTCGTAATTAGCATAAGAGTTTATGATACAATACTCAAATAAGTCTCATGATATTGAACTTATAGATGGTAGATATTACAGGTAACATTCAAATAATTGATTGAAATTTCAAAACTTTTTATTGTGTCATGCTCTAAATCAATTTACGAACTATCAACTAACTAATAAGGTACTACCAAATAGCTTTTTAGTTAGAAACTAGTATGTATACCCGTGCAATGCACGGGAGATAATATAAATTGATAAGATAAAAAAATATTTAATATTATTCTTATTTTTTTTATTTTATTATAAATAATAAAATTGATTAATATGTTTACGTACATTAATTCAAAATATATAAAATTGACTATATAACTTTCCGGTTAGATTGGGTTGTTTGCTTTTAGGTTTATGCCCGGTTGTGGGTCTCTAGACCGCTTTTTAGCGTGTCTTCTTATTTTATGTTTTTATTCGGTGTCCATCCATTCCTCTATCGTTTAAAAAAAAAAATGTGATATTTGATAATTAAATTATTTAATATTTCTCAAAGATTAAAAGTATTGTTATGAATATTTTCATTTTTATTTTGACTCATTGGTAGTTTGCACGACAAACGACAAATAATTAGTTTATTGTTTTATTGTTATATACTTAAAACTTAGAGATAATTGTTTATCTTTAATTTTGCATTGTTTAAGTATTTAAAGTTGTACCGGTTTTGAAGAAGTTTTTTGCTTTCTCATTATCGGAGATTAAACATGTACTTTTTAATATTCTCATAAAATTCATATATTTTACATAAATATAATCTGTATTTTAAATTTTAGATAAATATACTATTGTCAGTAAAACTTAAAATAAACATAATTATACTTGTTAATTTTAAACAACAAAACTGAAACATTAATAATCCGATTAAGATAAAAACTTTAAGAAATTAAGAAGACTCCAAAAACAAACGTAAGCCATATATATATGCACATAATCGTAGATGTTAATTCAAGAGCGCTATAACGTTAAACAATATTTCGGAGTTAAAAAATTTTGTGAAGAAACAATTAGAATTAGGTAAATAGTTTTTTTTTTAATAAGACTTGACGAAACGTCATCGTAAATATAATATGGATAATCTTATAAAATTAAAAGAGTTATAGACTTATAGTCTATAAAAACCACCCAAAATAAACAGAATATACCGTCCTTACATAAACAAATGAAAATAGAATCTGTTATTCCTTACAAAAACAAATCAAGTAGTCCTTCAAAAAATGAAAACAAACCAAAACAAAAAACTTGGCCAACTGGTAGTGGTTTAGAACCTTTTTCACACGATGAAAGTGTGCTATATCCTACACTTTTTTCACACGATGAAAGCAACAATGACTGGTAGCACAGAGAAGGCGAGAGCAACTACCATATTTCTGACAAAAGATATCAACCATCATTGAGAACACTAATAAGGCGGCAACAACCAAATTTAGAATTGCACGAAACCTGAAAAATACAAAAAAGTATTAATAAATATATATAAAAGAGTTATGCTTATTTGAAAAATAAAATAAAAATTGACAGTGATATATTTAAAGGTTCGATCGTCCAGGTGATACTGCAGACCACCGTTGTTTTCTTGTTCGACATCATAACTCTGCAACAGCTATATTAAGACCAATAGCGAAAAATTTTAGAGATATTCGTGTGAAGTGAAAGATTTTTTATTAATACAGAAGGGGTGATGATAATGGTGAGTGGTTATTTATACAGTGGGGGGATCGTGGGGATGGGAGTTAAAGAGCATAATTTCATTTCAAGTGCGGCAAAATAGTTATTTAAATAAATAAATTTATTGAAGTTATCCTATTTTCTTTGTAATAGATACGATCATACGAATGCAATACTAATTTGTTGCTAAACAATAATTAACTGTTCATGGACTGACGCATTTCATATAATTCTTTTGGTAAATGCGATAACTACTTGTTCATGTACAACTATACCGTCAAACTTATATGTATAAGTAGTAAATATATTATTTATATTAGTCAATTTAATTTATTTAAATATGCTATCAGGTGTCTTTGTGTTATTATTCGCAATATTTGTAATTATCAAAATAATGAAAGAATAGTTTTCATTAAATAGAAGGACATAGTCAAAGTTGTTCTTAAAAAAATATAATTCAATATTTAAATGGACATGAATTTTAATAGTTATCCATAATTTGAACAGTGAATAAGAATTTAATTAGAGGTTTTACTTTGTTAGTTCTTTTAATGATATTGCATAAATGCAAGTTGACGGTTAAATGAATTAATAAATATTAAAATTCAATAAAAATTAAACACCAAATGAGGGCCACTTGTCAAAAACACAACAAACTTTCCTTAAATGGCAATAAACTTGTGGGACCCACTCTTAAAACCTTCTACTTTTAGTAAGTGTGTTGTCTAATTATATACTTTTAGTAAGTGTGTTGTCTAATTATATAGTAGATAGATATGGTGTATTGACCACTGACACGTTTTTTTAGACAAGGCCAACTTTGGAATAAATAAGGGATCTCGAGAGTCGTTTCATATTCACAGAGAGAGAGAGAAAATTGAGAGATACGATCATGCCGCGTGAGCTTGCTGTTGCCCATGTCGTCCCTGATTCGCCTGAGGCTGTTTACTTTGCTTTGGCGGCCGTCTGCGCCCTATCGGCTGCCATATGTGCTGCGTACTTGCCGTGGAAGGAGGAGGAGACGGCTAATATAGTCACCGTGTCCGTCTTTCCCATCGTTTTGTGCCTTGCCAACCTCGCCTGGTGGGTAAGAGAGCGTGATTTGGGGCTGAGACGTCGAGACTGGAAGGCCGACGCGGTTGGGGTAGTGGTGGCGGCCGGAATCAACACCGTGATGGCGGCCATCCCCGACCAGTCCGACAATCGCATCGTCTGGCAGGCCGCGGCGGCTTTCTCTGTGTTCATTTTCGTGGAGCTGCTTCAACCCCACACCGATTTCGGGATCTCACAGGGTTTTATCCTCACTGCTTTCCAGACGTCGGTCATATGCAACTTCTCCGTGTGGTATGTCGTCACGGCGATTCTCCTCGTGGTGGTCATTTTTCGCCACAGTCGGCTCACTTACGTACCGCCACCAGATGCCGTCCACTTCTCCCTGTCGTATGCCGTTGCGGCACTTCTTGTGGCGGTAGTCGCTGTGATGGGCCTGATGGCGTCCTCCTTTCGCCGCCCAGATTTGGGGCCCTTGGGCTTTGCCGCCACATGATTGATTTTGCTATTAATTAGGAGCGGATTAGTAGTAGTAGTATTTATTAATTATTAGTGGGCTAATTAAGTCGGTCGTAATAGTCTGATTAAAGATGTTTGGGCCGCCGGCTTTTGTAGTTGTTATCCCGGCCGGTTCCTATTTTTCTCCATTCTAATCATCATGATTCTAAGGCGGATAGGATTTGATTTTTCCAATTATCCCACGTAATCCAGTGTTTGTTGTCCTTTAGGGCACTTTTAGTACAAGTGATTAATTACAATGTTAATACGATATATATGTGGTTGTACTGTTTTCATTGAATCATTTTATGGTGTTTATTTACCTTGATATCGTTAATACGATAGAATTATTATGCCCCGGGTCTAGTTAGTTGTATATATATGGTATATGGTGTAGATTATTACTATAATACCCTACATTCATCTTATACCCAGTTGTCGTCAACTCTATATTTCGGTAGGTAGATCGACGCCCATTTCTTTTGAGGTGACGGAAAATTGTCTGACGAATGCAATGGAGTTCGACTGATATAGATGCCCGCGCGTCACAATATCCACCAACTCGTTTTGGATTGGGGAAGACAAGGATGATTTAGGGTTACGACATCTTCTTTTGTAATAAAAAGATTGTAAACTAGTATTGACCTTTTTTTTTTAATTTGTCACGACGAATACTTATAAGGTGCTTTACATACAAATGTTGCATAAATTATTAGTATAAAATTAAGTAACAAATATAAACAAAATCTGAACATTATAGTTATACAAAATGTTTTGTAAATAAAATCGCAACATACATTAAAAATATAATTACTATAAACACAACTTTTATTGAACTAATCTGATGTTTGTGTGTGTTGCACAAGATTCTGACGCTCGTCATTAAGTCTTAATCTATTTTTCTTATAATTGTCGACCTGATTGGTTTTGTCATTCATTTTTTTTTTTGTTCGAGTTGGGTCATTGCTTCAACGACACCTTAATCAATTTTCATATCGTTCATGTCAAATTCTTCTTCTCCAACAAAATCAGAATCTTGCTCGGGTTTTTTTTTGTGTGGAAGTGTTGGATTTCTTCTTCCGTCGTGTTCGTTTCTTTGTCAGGGGGATTTCATCGACGTCGCCGGAAGGGGTTGCGCCGGCCGTAACTTTGCCACCTTTATTGCGGGATTTTTTTGAGCCACGGACATTTGATTTGTTATGGAATTGAAGCTTCTTTTGCACTAGCTTCAGGTTAATATTAGGTTTAGTCTGGCGGAGACGAGAACTAGATCTTAGTTGTGGACCGTCTCGTGGGGCTGCTTCCGACTTTGGAGGGGGCGGGGGTCGATTTTCACCATTTTGCGAAATTGATAAAATAAAAAGTTTGAGATTGAGAATAATGGATGGCGTCGAGAAAGATGGAGAAGAAAGAATAAATTGGAGATGACGTGCGGTTTGGAAGTAAGTGTATGAGAAGTTGCGTAGTATCCCATTAAATTCGTCAGATACCAAGTAAAACTCAACTTTCTTAATCTTTCCAATTATAATATTATATTAGAGTATATGCAATATTTTATGTTAATAGATTAATTTTTTTCCAAAAATATAATCAACTCAAAAGTGGCTGGACAAAAAATTACGGGAAAACGTAATTAAATTAGGTGTTCTGGCGGCCCATAATATCTTAGACGAGGTAAATAATGAATATAAGTGGATAAATGCCCATCTTTAAAAGAGCCCAAGAGGATGGACAAAAGACTCGACGTTGAACCGAGGTAGCAGGTGCCCCGTCGTATCGTCCGCCGCCGGTATTCCCTAATTTCTCATCTGCTTTATCCTTATACATATTGAAACCTCAAATTTTATGCTTGAATATCTCTCGAGAAACCTAGTTCCCGTATGTTGATGTTTATTTCATTAAGAATATGGCGTAGTTTTTGTTTTTTTTTTTTAGTTTTTGTTCCTTGAAAATTCCTTGAGACACCTAGTTTAGATTCCATGTTGTATGATTCATCAAATCAGACTTTTGTTCTTGAAATTCATGTTTCTATAGCTTCAGGGAAGAGAAAAACCCTCGATTCTTGTCTGGATTTTGTGTGTGCGGCAGTTATTTTGGTGGATTGAATTTTATTTTTGTTGTACTGAGTCTGATCCTATTTTTAGACATAATTATATACCTTGAAAAGTTTAGCGGTACCCAACCTCAATGTCGACAAAGGGTCTCCACCGATTTACGCTGGAAAAATTCTCTCTGTGCACCGGAGTCGAATCTGAAAAGCACATTCTCAGTGATTCTTTTACAGTTGGTGGCCACCGGTTGGCATTGGCCATCTTTCCCGGTTTGGGTGTGAATCGCGGCCATAATGGTGGTTGGGTCTTCTGCCTCGATTTCCGCATCCGGCTCCTGAGCAAATGCCGTAATGGGGTCCTCTGTTCCTTCCACATAACGCTGCTCGACCAGAGTTCGGCCGGGAAAAATGTCACACGATCCTTTCCTTCCACGGTCGTTATGCCCGACCAGTGCGCGGGCTATCATCACATGATGGCGAGTCACTCCCTCGACCGCTTGGGTTATCTCCAGCACGACTGTCTGAAATTCGAGTGCGAAATCAAGATTCACGAGTCGGCTGGCGGCATTGCTCGTCCCGTGTGTGATGTTGGTGTCGATTTTCTTTCCATGCTGGACACGGACGTGGGCTGTGACGTCATTTTCAATGTGATGGGCAGGAGATTCCCTGCGCACACTCCCGTGCTAAGAGCACGCTCCTCGGTTTTTGCATCCATACTTGACAACAATCATCATCATGGGGAAATGGTTGTCACCAGCATTGAGCCTCGGGTTTTTGAGGTAGACGAGCTTTTTCTTGCGATACAGTGATGGTGAAAAATTTTGTTGCTTTGATATGATGTTACGTTATTTCAGTGTTTGCTGCACTTCATATACTCGGATTCTCTGCCGGAGGATGAGAATCGGTTGTTGATGGATGGATATGCTTTTGGGCCGTCCGTTTCGGCCACTTTTGGAGCCAAATTGCTTGCAGCTGCAGATAAATACGACCTCAAACGTCTCAAGAGTATCTGTGAAGCTCATCTGTGGAGGACCATCTCTTTCGGACGATTTTCAGAGATTCTCATACTAAGCCAACAATGTAATGCGTCTCAACTGAAAAATCTATGCTTTAAGTATGCTTCGGATAATTATGCTGGTAAGATTTTTTTTTTTTTTNGGCAAATTCGAACCTTTTTGAGTTTTTGTGGAGCTTTAGTAAAGATTAATTGAGGTTGATGAATTTATTTTTAATTCAGATCTTCTGGAGCTGGACAATTTCAAATGCCTTGAAAACAAGTGTCCCTTGCTGCTGAAGGAGATGAATAATTATACTCAAACAAGCATCTAATAAGTGAGATTAAGGACAAGAGTCTTATTAGGTTATTTGTTTGATTAGTGCATGTCATTTTGGGTTTTAGAGAGTAAATTGGAAAACTAGTGTGAGGGAGGAACAATGCGAATAGCATTTGATTGGACCTTGTTACTATATAACATTGCTGCTCTTTCTCGCTGTTTCAAACTTGTTTGCTCCTTCAATTTTATTTTTTTTTTCCTTTTATTATTAATCCAAAGATGTAGAATTCCAAATATTTTGTAATTTCTCTGTGGCCTACCATCGTTCGAGGGATACTTTCAATTTGAAAAACACAAATTCTCAGGTAAGGTAGTCTATTTATTAGGCGACTTGGCTTATCATATTCAACTAATACAGAGCCCGTGCGATGTAATAACGATCAATCATATAAATTATAGAACAATATTTATTAACATAAAAATATAATTTAATAATAATTTGCTTTTTTATAATTTTCTTTATTTTTAATGATATGTAATAATTTAAAATTTAAAAAGTCCATATAAGTATTGTTCAAAGTTTTTGTTCACATAAATATAAAAATTTTAACATTTTCACATCTAATAAATGCATAAAATTCCTATTAAATCTCGTTCTTACTAATACCTTATTAGCATAATATAAGTAGACTTAAAGTTAGAAAATTGTGGTTAGAATTAAAATAATATTTATTTTGTAAATAAATTAAGCCTCTAAAATAATTTAATATAAAGCGGGTGTAATATTATTTATTTCAAGATTATAAAACTTAATGATTTCAATTTAGACACTCGATAAATTATTAATTAGTGAAAATTTTTCAATTTATAGTAATATATGTTAATTATGCTTGAAATAAATATTTACTTAAATTTTAAATATTTTGGCATAATTTTTTTTCTAACATGTGTAGTCAAATATATTAAAATATTATTTTATGCTCAATAAATGTATTTAGTATTTACATAGTCATTTGTATGTGATTATAAGTCTATCAATTCTAGTAATTTAAAACGTTATTTTTGAAATATCAATTTCAGAAATATATACTTTTAGTTGATAATGCTTTTTGGATTTTTGTGTAAATAAAATTGACTATGAATTTGGAAAGAATATATATAAATTTATAAATCTAGTGAAAATATCTCTTAAATCATATATCCGATCCCAAGTTTCTAGAATTTTATTATGAGAAACCATATCTTATTTTTGAAACAAATAAAGAAAAAAAAAATCATATTTAAGAGACTAATGTCTATGAGATGCCACCAATTAACCATGAAATAAGATGCTCTAAAACAACTGAACAACTGACGAAAACTATACGTATAGAATTTTCTTTAGGTTTATCTTTATTTAAGATCCACGGACAAATCAAACAAAATGTAATGTTTCATTCATCAACAACCTATCACAAAATTACTGTCACAAATATCTTGCATTCGTCAAAGATATCATGCCAAAAAAATGTATGATATCTATATAAGTTTAAAAGTTTAAAAACATTTAGATGTCCAAAAAAGACGTTCAAAAAAATCCGGAATTGATATCTTGATATCATGCCAAGTTATAATAAAATGAAGGGAGTAATTTTTCAAAAATTAACTTGGAAAATTTAAAACTAATAATATTGAAAAGATAAAAAAAGAATAACAAATTTCCTTTGTTAAAAACTTTATCTTTTGGATTAAGTTTTTTTAAATACTATTTTTTAGCTAATGCTTAATACATTTTTATATTAATAGATATATAGACATTTCAACTTCAAAATATTCCTTAATTCAAAATTAATACTCTTTAGTGATTCAATATTAATATATCTTTATCCATCCTCGTATTATGTGGATTTATTCAATATTCAATTGTCTTTATTCATATTTGTGTTATGTCGATTTGTATCAACATGATTTTTTAGAAATGTAAATTTTTGGAAAGGTATTATTTTATATTTTCATATCTTCAAAAAAAAAAATGGTCAATGTAAGGAAAAAATTCTATGAAACCAAAATGATTTTTGTTACAAAAGTGTAGTTTGTAGAAATGATATGTTAAACGGGTTTGGTTGATATCTCATGGATATTTTCTTCCTTGCGAAAGATAATTCGAGTTAATATGTTATGACTTATGACAGATTGTCCCAGATAAAATATGATGTAGATAACGTTTTTCTTGATTAAAAATAAAATGATATAAGCTGATTTGTTTTAACACAACCAAATGAAGAAAACCAACCAAATAAAGTGCATAGCATCGCAAGAACACTGCTTGCTCGTCTGGTCCCTCAGCACATGAGCAGCCCTTCTATACTCCCTGCAGTCAAAGTAAGACTTTTCCAGCAGATAAAAATCGCCATCCATCATATCTTTATCGCACTCCTAGGGCCCACAGTTTCAGCGTTTGCTCCTCGCCTGTCGCAAGCCGCCGTCAGAAAACTGAGCAGCTTCTTGCCGGCTGGGAGAAAAGGAAAAGGAAAACGTGATTTTTTTTAAAAGATAATGAAGAGTTTTGTTAGTAATGTAATTATATAGATGTTTGATAAGTTGGAATATATCCAAAAAAAATCTCCATATTTGTTACCTAAAAAATTGGGATTCCTGGGATTTCATAGTTGAGAAAATCCGGTGGTTTCCTGAATAATTGGAAAGAAAATCCGGCCAAATTGTTTATACTTGATTGATTCCAGTATTCTATTTTAGTGTTTTTTGCGTGATTCTGTTTTAGAATGATTTAAAATAAAAAAAAAAATTAAAAAATAAATTATTTTTAGATTTTTTTAATTGGTTTCCACAAATGGGAAGTCAATGGTGTTGTTGACCAGTTTTTTAAAAGTTTCCATAAATAATTTATTGACCTCTCTTTTTCAATATATATAGATGAGCTAATATGCATACGTATACTATCTAAATAACGTTCAATTTGGAAAAGACAAATTCTTAGGTAGGGTAGTTTAATTATTAGGCGAGTCGATCAATCATATTCCATGAATTAATATACATATTTATTCTATCAAACTAGTATGCGATTCATGTGATATACAAAATAATAATATTAAAGTTGTGTTATAAACTAAATATATAAATAACATAAATTATAATTTAAAGTACATTATTAAAAGTTAAATATAGTATCCTTTTGTTCACATAAGTATTAATAATATTATATATAATATTCAGATGTTATTGGACATGTTTTCATAAAAACATTATTGGTTTATTGTTTGCACTACATTATATTATAACAATAAAGTATTATTACTATTAAAATTTATATCTAGTTTTAATCATCTTCTTTCTCGTTGATTGCACATGAGCTAATATGCGTACTTATATTATCAACCTAACCTTCAATTTGAAAAACACAAATTATTGGGTGGGTAGTTTTAGGCGAGTGGGTCAATAACATTCCATGAGTTGATATACATACTTTAATATAAAACCAGCCAGTATGCGTCTCATGCAATACACAATAAATAATATTAAAGGTGTATTGTTAATTAAATATATAAATAGCATAAACCACAATTTTACATATAGTATTAAAAGTTATAATATAATATAGTGTTGCTCACATAAGTATTAATAAAATGATGCTTACATATTCACATATTATATATTGTACATGTTCTCATAAAATCATTATTGATTTGATTGTTTGAACTACATTGTATTTATAACGATAAAATATATTTACTATTAAAATTTATATTTCGTTTTAATAATAGACTTAATTTGTCGCCGAAATGGCCATAATATGTTTATTCGGGATACAATCCAAGTTGTCATATCTATGTTTTTACTATTTTTCAAATGTCGTGATATTGATCCAATAAAAACGTGAGCTGCATAACCCAAAGTTAACCTGATGTACCCCAAATAGTTTTCTTTTTCTTTAAATAAGATTAATTTTATAAAATAAAAATAACATGTGATTCACGTAATAAATGTTTATACCAATGAAAAATATATTAAGATTTTGAATCATATAATTAATTAAAGACAAATTAATTATTTGTTACTTGATGCATAATCGTATTGCAATAAAGGTAATAATTTGAAAAGGCTAAAATTAACTGAATGGGTCGGTATTGACTTAAGTTTGTATATTAATTGATGTGTTTGTAATATATTATTAATAAACTGTTAAATATCATTGAAAATGCATACATTCACACCTGAAAATTGAGTCTCCACGGTTTGAGCTCGAGTTTGACCGAACTCGAGGTGGCTCGAGCATGTTATCGAGTCGATCTCGAGCATGGATGGATTGGAATATCATTTCTAATTATATATACTCTATCAATAGTCAATAAGCCCTAAACGAGGTGTTAATTAGTATCACTATATACCAAGATTTATCTGGTTTTATGTTTTGGTGCATCTCTGAAAAGAACGTGCAATGTACGACGTTTGCTTTATGAACTCTACCTTTAATATTGAGCAAAAATATCTACTGAATTTATGATGCTTTTTGTACTGTGACTATATAGGACATGGTAAAATCTGACATATTAATATCTTTGAGGGGCCATGAACAATTTTGTTGATACCCGAATTATACTTTGACATTAATTTTATTTATTTTGTATCCATGAGAAGTGATTAACAGCTGGACCACACATGTTTTCTGGGAATTTTTAGTCCAATATGTCTGGTTATCAAATCATTTTCTCTACAGAAAATGTCAAGGTAGGACTAATTGGGAGATTTTTGTATTTTTTAAAAAAATTTCTTTATTTTTTTCCCTTAATTATGATTTGGCTCCTTATTTGGTTGCAGTTGGATGTTTCTTGAGAGTTAGAGAGATATTTGTTATTTGTTTCTCCTAGTGCATATTATCTGTTTAATTAATTATATCTTATTAAGTATTTAGCATAATATGATGTCCTAGTAGTTAAAAAAGAAAAAAAAAAAAATTGGTTTTGTTCACTCAAAAATTGTTGAAGTTGGATTCCATCTTTAAATTAATTATGTGACATATTATAAAGTAATAGTGGACCTTGCTCAGGCGGACTATCTAAAGGCTATTCTTCATAACTTTTCCCTTCTATGACTTCATTGCGCTTTGCTTCGTTCGTTGGAGTTGCAACCTTCTATTTCTATTTAGGGTCGATGTAATTGAAAAAGATAGTATTCCAACCTCTGCATTGATAACAGATGTACTGCTCAATTTGTCATTAAGAAATCAAAAGTATTATAGGTTCTAGAAAAAGAAAAAAAAGTATTATATGTTCAACTATATGTAAGTAAACTTTACAGCATAAAATTAGTAATTGGAATTTAATTAAATTATTGTGA